GGCCTGACCACTTGGCAGAATGGACTTGCCTGTTACTGAAATGGGGGGAAAGTGAGGAGGATATGAAACTATGGTTTAGTTTTCGGACATAGTATATTTGAAAAGTCTATTAATTATGTCTTAGAATATCAAGTAGGCATTTGGATTTCCAAATCTGTAGATTAGAAGGGAAGTCAGAAATGGATTTATAAAATTGACAGAAGTGTATTTAAGCTGATGGAAATGGATGAGCTCACCTGCATGGTGATCATAGATAGAGAATTCAAGTCAACACACTGCACACCTTACACTTACACTATACTATTTGTCAATTATATCTCAAAAAGCTTGGAAAAATAAAACAAAATTACTCCAGGCATAAATAAAAGAATTCAGAGGACTGAGCCCTGGAGCATTCTAACATTTAAAAGTCAAAAATAGAAGGAACCAAGAAAGCCACTGCGAAGCAACAGTAATGAGGTGAAAGGAGAAGCAAAAGCAAGTAGCATCCTGAATGCCATGGGAAGAAAGTGTTTTAAGGAGGAAGTGGTCAGTTTTGTCACATGCTGTTGAAACATCAAAGAAGAGGAGAACTGAGAACACACCTTCGGATTTGACAGGACGAAGGTCTGTCATTTGTTGCCTTGATGAGAGCAGCTTGATAGTGTGAAGGGATGAAATGCTGATCAGAGGGATTCAACAGAACTTGGGAGATGAAGAAGTGGAGATAGAATCAAACGTTCTCTCAATAACTATTGCTCGGAAGAGGACCAGAGAAATGTGGTGTGATTGATGATCCTGTTGTTATTTTGGTCAATGATCCTGTTGTTATTTTGGTCAGTCTGGGCATCCTGTTTCTCAGAATCCTTGTTAGATCCTCTCCAAAAGAGGATCTTGCTCAAGATTTGAGAGGCAGAAGTGAAGCAGAGTCTACTAATACCTGAAGGACTCCCAGGTGAGATATGGAAGCATATCTCTCAGCTCTCTGTCCAGCTCTTCTTCCAGACTGTTGACCCCACTGTCCAATGGAGCACCACCAGGCACTTGGCTGCAGACCCACAGGTGTGGTAGCTGCAGAGAAGCCCTATAGACCTCTCCATGCACTCCTGCTTCTTGGTGCCATTCCTGCAGCTGGATGTGTCTGCCTTTTTAAATTTCCCTGCAAGCTCTGATTTATCCTTGCACCGGCAAGGACAGCCTGATTAATGATTTTTCTCTGATTCTCTAGCTCCCTTCATAGGACCTTCACTTCCTCAGGTCCTCTTCCAATAGTGTGAAGTCTAATCCCTGTAATACTCATATCACTCCCAGCAGATCTGTTTCCTTGACACATGGAGTAATAGCTGCAGAGGTGATGTGAGGTCAAGGGAATGTTGTTTGTTTTTTAAGATGATAGTTTGCTGCTTGTTTGCTTGAGAGAAGAGAAAGGACAACTGCAAGAGTATTGTAGCTTGGACCCTGGGCACAAAGGAAAAAGACTGTATTGAGATGGGGACACAGAATAGGTGAACTCAAGCATTGTACTAAGAGGAAAGACAGAATAGGCGGGTATCTATGTAGTAGATTGGTAGTTACAATGGGAGTATGTGGAAGTCTCTTTTGATTGCTTTTATTGTCTCGGTGAAATAAGAAATGCCAGCAGTAGATGAGTTTACTGGGAGAAGAGAGAAAAGTATAATTGGGAAATTTGTCTCTTTTGGCTGCCTAGCCTATGGACCTCTTTCTAGAGTTTGGAGAATTTGCTGTTTTGTGGGTCTTGGTGGGAGACAGAGCCCATTCATCACAATTGAAGCTGAAATAATCAGACCCTCAATCCTACCAGCCCTTAGTAGCTCCTGGAAGATTTAGGATCCCCATTTCCTTATAACCACATGACTAGAGAGTAATGAAAGGCTCTTCTCCAAGGGGACTCCAAGAGGCCAGGATTGAGCCACATTCCCCTTCTCAGAACAAGCACTGTGACTCAGGACTCAGGAACCAAAGTTCTATTCCTGGCGGCACAACTTGGGAGGGTTTGACACCACCCTGAGTGCTAGGCGATTGGGTTAAAGTCACTAGAGGATCCCATACTCAGTCATGATAAGATCAACGATGGGCCTATGAGTCTCTGCAGCCAAAAGAAGGGAGAAAGAAGGCTTGGAAAGCCAGGAAAGGAAACTTCCTCCTCCTTTCAGGGAGCTAAGAGAAGAAATGATTGGCCTTCTGCATAATAAGGATATAATGTCTGGAAAGGCTGCAGCCATTAAAAAAAAACAACAACTGTTTTTGAATGGGAAATTTATGCATGTGGTTTAACAATACAAAAGTAGTATACAGTGAAAAGCAAATCAGCCTTTTCCCCTGTCTGTGTCCAGCTGCCACCGAATTCCATTTTCCAGAGGAATTCATAGTTACGTGCTTCCGTGTGTCCTCCCAGAGAGTCTGCTATATGCAAGCATGCACATGTAAGTGTATCTTATTTCTTCCCCAAATGGCCCACTCTTTGCTCTTTTTCTCTACCTCCGTTGTATTTACTTAATGATGTTTCTTGGAGATTTTCCACGGCTACACACATAGGTCTGCCTTTAACAGTAGCGCAGAATGCCATTTTGTGGATGGTCCATTATTAATTTAAGCATCCTTCAGTGACTGGCATTTAGTTTATTTGTACTGTGGATGAAAAAAGGGCCACATGCTAACCTGACTAACTCAGGGAAGGCCTGCATAGCAGCCTTGCAAATTCAAGAGACCTAAAGTAACCACAAAGGATGGTCTGAAATTAAAAACCTTTCATTTAAAAAACAGTTTATAGTGGGTAGTCAAGTCCTAGGCCAGTATCTTTCTTGACAAAAATCAACTTCAATCTTTACTGAGCCTATTGTCTTTTTGCATCTAAGATAACATACCTGTGAAATGTCAGGGTAACTTGTAACTTCCCTTTTTCCATATCCCTCAGGGTGAAATTAAATTCCTTCACTGCACCGAGGCCGGTTTGGCTCAGTGGATAGAGCGTCGGCCTGCGGACTGGGAGGTCCCGGGTTCGATTCCGGCCGGGGGCGTGTGCCTGGGTTGCGGGCACATCCCCAGTGGGAGATGCGCGGGAGGCAGCTGATCGATGTTTCTAACTCTCTATCTCTCTCCCTTCCTCTCTGTAAAAAATCAATAAGATATTTTAAAAAAAAATTCCTTCATCGTTATTGTTGTCATGTTAATTGTGGACTGTTAACTACCCTACACCAACCTAAGTAAAAGAAGTATGTGTCTATCATTTTACTTTTTATCCAATCCCAGAGGTTCCCCACCCCCCATATCTCATTTCTTCCCCTTTGATTGTGATGTAAAAACAAGATTTGGCTCAACTAAACTCACAAAAATTCTTTATAGTTTTGAATTTTTTTTTTTGCTTTAACAGCACATACAGTTGCAATAAAAATTCCTCAAATGCCTATCATTTTGCACATAAACTGCATTTGCTTTTACTCCCATGCCCAGTCAGCTGGAGACCAAAGCCGAAGCATCCAGAAGAGCAGAGCCAAGGGAACCACAGAGAATGACTCTGGAACCCTGATGACGCGGTGACACTCTGGATTGGACGGGGACTGACATCCCTGTCTTGTTCCCGATCTTAAGGGAAGTACTTTTAGTTTTTTCCCATTGAGTATGATATTGGCTGCAGGTTTTTCATACATGGCCTTTATTTTGTTGAGGTATGATCCCTCTATTCCCACCTTGCTGAGAGTTTTTATCATAAATAGGTGCTGGATTTTATCAAATGCTTTTCCTGCATCTATCTATATGATCATGTGATTTTTATCTTTCATTTTATGTGATTTATCATATTTATTGATTTACAGATATTGTACCAGCCTTGCATCCCCAGAATAAATCCCATTTGGTCATGGTGTATGATCTTCTTAATGTATTACTGGATCCGGTTGGTTTGCTAACATTTTGCTGAGGATTTTAGCATCTATGTTCATTAGGGATATTGGCCTAGAATTTTCTTTCTTTGTAGCGTTTTTCATCAGGTTTTAGGTTTTGGAAATAGGATAATGATGGCCCCATAAAAAGAGGTTAGAATTTTTTGGAATAATTTGAGAAGGTTAGGTGTTAGTTCTTATTTGAATGTTTGATAAAATTCTCCTGTGAAGCCATCCAGTCCAGTTTGCTGGGAGTTTTTTTAAAAATATATGTTTTTATTGATTTTAGAGAGAGAGGAAAGGAGAGAGAGTTAGAAATATTGATGAGAGAGAAACATCCATTGGCTACCTCCTGTATGCCCCCTATTGGGGAACCAGCCCATAACTTGGGCATGTGCCCTGACTGGGACCTCTTGGTGCTTGGGTGAACACTCAACCACTGAGCAACACTGGCTGGGCTGCTGGTAGTTGATTACTGCTTTAATTTCATTCGGTGTTATTGGTCTATTTAGGTTTTCTGATTCTTCCTGATTGAGTTTTGGGAGATTGTACCTTTCTAGGAATTTGTCCATTTTGCTCAGGTTGTCCAATTTGTTGGCATATAATTGTTCATAGTATTTTCTTTTGTAAAAATTTTATTTTATTTTATCTTTTAAAATATATTTTATTGATTTTTTACAGAGAGGAAGGGAGAGAGATAGAGAGTTAGAAACATCGATGAGAGAGAAACATCAATCAGCTGCCTCCTGCACACTCCTACTGGGGATGTGCCCACAACCAAGGTACATGCCCTTGACCGGAATCGAACCTGGGACCTTTCAGTCCACAGGCGGACGCTCTATCCATTGATCCAAACTGGTTAGGGCTAATCCTTTGTATTTCTGTGATATTAGTTGTTACTTTGCCTCTTTCATTTTTTGATTTTGCTTATATGGGTCCTCTCTCTTTGTTTCCTGGTGAGTCTGGCTAAATGTTCATCAATTTTGTATATCTTTTCAAAGAACCAACACTTGGTTTCACTGATCTTTTGTATTGTTCTTTTAGACTCCATGTCATTTATTTCCACTGTGATCTTTATTATTTCCTTCCTTCTGCTTACTCTGGGCTTTTCTTGTTGCCCTCTTTCTAGTTCTTTTAGGTGTAGGGTTAGATTGTTCATTTGAGATTTTTCTTTCTTCTTGAGGCAGGCCTGTAATGCTAAGAACTTCTCGCTCAGAACGGCTTTCACTGTATCCCATAGATTTGGGGTTGTTGTGTGTTCATTTTTATTTATTTCCAGGTATTGCCCTATCTTCTAAAGGGCTGACTTGTTATTTTGGATTTGGCGAATTGGGGTTAGAGAGGAGAAGGCAATGAGTTAAGGAGAAGTGCCTGAGAAATCCAGGTCTTCCCTCCCCTAGCCATCTCTCAGGGGATTCTTCTCAAGTGCCACGGAATATTCCCATAGTCCTTGAGGATCGCCACCATGGAGACTGGGAGTTGGGTTCTATTTTTCTGGTGACCAATTGTGTGGGGCCTCTGTACTGGAACTGCCAGGGTTCTGCGAAGAGGCAGGCCTGGGAAGCTCAGGCTTAGAGGAAGCCTTGGGGCAAAAGCAGAAGAGAGCTTAGGAGTGGACTCATAGTCTTGGTTCTACTTTCATCTCAGTGATGTCCACCCTTTCAGTGTTCTTGGATGTGCCCGCAGCCCAGAAGCTAGAAGGCAGCTTGTTAAAGACCTACAAACAAGACACTTACTCTAAGAAGATGTTCCTGGCCTATAAAGGTAGATGCCTAAGACTTAGTGTATCATAATTGCCTCTAGGGGGCAGTATTCCATTGCTACAGAGGAATCAGGAACATCGCGAAAGCTTCTCCCAGTGGGCAAAAGAGCAGAAAACATCCTGGGTCATTCCGTGCCCTCTGCCTTTCTCTGGGGGCTTCCAGAGGTTTGATACAAACTCTGGTATATCCTCTTCCCCAGTTGTATGTGGGGCCTGCATGAGCACAGCACATTTTTCTGCCTCTTCCTCCACCCCCTTTCTGTTCCTGAACCAAGAATGGTTCCCTAAATTGACTCTTCTGATATACAGAGAGCCCTTGCCACTGTGAACGTCAGTGTTACCTTTGTTTAATCTCAGGTATTTATAACTCCCAGGCTGTATATAATTTTCGCCTTTTAAAATGGCACATAGGTTTCAGTTGTCTTCTTTAAAAAGACAAAAATTAGCTCAGTGGATAGAGCGTAGGCCTGAGGAGTGAAGGGTCCTGAGTTTGATTCCAGTCAAGGGCATGAACCTCATTTGTAGGCTTGATCCCTGGCCCTGGTTGGGGCATGTGCAGAAGGCAACCAATCGGTGATGTATCTCTCTCACGTTGATGCTTCTCTCTGTCTCTCTCCCTCCTTTCCACTCTCTCTAAAAATCAATGGGAAAATATCCTCAGGTGAAGATTAACAAAACAAAAAACCCCACAAAAGTTGTCCTGGCCAGTGTGGCTCAGTTGGTTGTCATCCTGTGCACCAAAAAAGTCGCTGGTTCTTGGTCGCTGGGACCAAGGTTTTCTTGTCCTTTTCCTGTCATTGCTCCATTTATTACCATGATCCCAGGTTGTGAATTTGATCCCTGATGCAGGAGGCAGCTCTGATCAGTGTTTCTCTCTCCCTTCCTCTCTCTCTAAAATCAATAAAAACATTTAAAAATAAAAAAATACTTTAAAAATTATAAATATTTACTAATAGCAAGTTGCTTTTATAAAAGGGAGGGGTGGGAAGGAAAGTTGTCTTTTCCTAGGCAACTTTCCAAAGCTTCAGGAAAGCCAGGACAGATGAATTGTTTGTGGGCTGTCTGCAGAGCCCAGAGGCCTCGAGTTCACCTTCTGCGGTTCTTCTTACAGTCTGCATGTCCCAGGAAGGACAACCCTGGGCTTCTTTCGTGGTGCACAAAATCCGACGGCAGATCGCACAGGATCCCTCCCTGAACTATGAGTATCTACCGGTGATGGGCATGAAGTCATTCATCCAGGCCTCGTTGGGACTTCTCTTTGGAAAGCACAGCCAAGTCATCGTGGAGAACAGGGTGAGAAGGGTCCCTCCTTCTCTCACGCAGACACAGGGTGTGGAAATCGGAGTTTGCACAATTTTAAACCTGAAAGGGACTTTGGAATACTCCCCCTCTCCCGCCCCCCGGCATTGACAAAGAAGACTTGTGAGGCTCATAGAGTCCCAAGCTTGTCATTGAGGGGCAAGGCCAGCATCAGAACCCAAAGCCCATGCTCTTGGCACCAGCCCACACTGCTGGTGTGCAAACTCTCTCAAGAAAGAATATTCTGAATCTGAGGCGGTTCTAGTATCACCATTACTCTTCTAAAGTGTCATTTCTGTTTGTTTGTTTGTTTGTTTATTGATTTATTTGCTGGCAGGCAGGGGGTGTGCACACTGTTGGTGACAGTGGTGCCTTCCAACTTGGGGCCCAGTTCCTCAAAACTTGGCGTGGGGATTCTCAAATAGTCTACGTCATTTCTTCTCAAGTAGGTGAGTGTTACGCAAGGTGAGGGTGACAGAAGATCCCTCTCCCGTTCCCGATTCCCACCCCATTTACATTCTTCACTGCTGTCCTTCTCACTCTCTGTCATGACAAACGGTGGACAAGCCAAGGTATGCTTGCCCTTTTCTTGTCATTGCTCCATTTTCAACCCTGACCCTCAGGGCCATTCTCTGGTGTGTCTGCTTCCATCTCTCCATTTCCCATGTAACAGCTGGTGGGGGGCTGTGTTTTCACAGAACAACATGGACTCATCTTCCAGGACATGGGCTTTATAGTTTTTGAATTCTCCTTCTGGGACTCTGAGCAGCTGTGCATGGACCCCAATATACTCTTCAATTTGGTGAAGGTAGAGAGGCCACCCTCAGAAACGTTTCCCCAGATCTGACCGACAGTGTTATTTTCCTTTCCTTCCCACCCTTCTAATTATCCAAGGCGTTTTCTAGGCTTGGATTTGTCTAGTGCTTTGGTAGGAACCAACTTGGAGGATCACTTCTCCTCCAACACCCGGGTGCCTCTACCACCTGGTAGGGGCAGTGCCTGATGAGACAGTCTCTACCTATAGGGGGCCCCCGATGGCTGTATCTTTGTGATCGGGAACATTGACTACTGCAAGTTGACACAATGTCAGTGGACAAAGTTGATGGCCACCATGAAGGTGAGCCCAGTGTCTCACTTGACTTCCTTTCACCATCTACCATCACTGTCACCAGTCTCACCTTTTTTTTCATTCTCCTTTCTCCTCTAGAGAAAGCGGATATTCCCATTTTTTGACATTCCCTATCAAGGTTTATCTACCGGTGACCTGGAAGAAGATACTAGATTCTTACAATACTTCATATCTGAAGGCTTTGAATTCTTCTGCAGCCAGTCTCTGTCCAAGAGTTTTGGCATTTATGGTATGGTCTGGGCACAAGTAGAAGGGAGTGTCTGGTAGTAAAGTGCTGCCACACCCATGACACACTCCACACTCTCTCTACCCTGTGGAAAGAGCCATGGCCTCCAGAGAGGGCAGCATGGGGCACAGGAGAGGAGCTAGACATCTGGTTCTGTGACATCATCTCAGCTTAGTTATTAAAACTGGCCCCAGTTACATTGTTTCCCCCTTAGACCTCATTTCATCATCTCTAAGAGGAGGGGTTAAGAATTAGTTATCTTTTTTTAAAAATATATTTTATTGATTTCTTACAGAGAGGAAGGGAGAGAGAGATAGAGAGTTAGAAACATCAATGAGAGAGAAGCATCGATCAGCTGCCTCCTGCACACCCCCTACTGGGATGTGCCCGCAACCAAGGTACATGCCCTTGACCGGAATCGAACCTGGGACCTTTCAGTCCGCAGGCCAATGCTCTATCCACTGAGCCAAACCGGTTATGGCAAGAATTAGTTATCTTTCTAGTCCCTTCCACCTTTGAGACTCTGACAGTTACTCTTCCTGGAAGAAGAGCCTCTGACAACTTCCTAGGGCCTGGACACCAGCTTGACTGGACTGGGATGAGGGCCCTGCAGGTTGCCCCTCTCTTTGGCAAGGTTGGAGGCTGAGTTACAGGGGAAGGCCCTGGTTGAGGAGACTGAGAACAAGGCTCCTGTCTCCATGCTGCAGATGAAGGAGTGGGGATCCTAGCCGTGGTGGCACTCAACAACCAGCTCCTGCTGTGTGTCCTCTCCCAGCTGATGAACTTCGCCCTGGCCCTGTGGCTAAACCCTCCGACCTCGGGTGCTCGCATTATCACCTCCATCCTCTGTAACCCTGCTCTGTATGAAGCATGGTAAGGGTGAAGGGTGGGGGCAGGGATGGATGGGCAGAGCCTCTAGATACCTACATACTTCCTGATTCACAAGATTCAACTGGGTGCTTCGCTTCTTGCCTCTTTACTCCATCCATTCATAAACATTTACTGAGGACCCACTGTGTTCCAATGGCAATGACTGTGCCAACTCTTGCCCTACTATGGGGAAGTGGGTAATAGAATGGGACACAGACTGATGAATTATTCGAACTCTTCCAGATTGCAGGAGATTAGGATGCCCCAAGAGCTTGCTACTCTACCAAAGTCTGCATAGGAGTCTGCTTGGCTTGCTTAAATTAATACAGGCTGAAACTTTTCTCCAATTCATAACCATCTGAGATCCCTGACTCCACAGGTGTGCCCTCGGGCACTCTGGTTGGGGGCTTTTGAAGGGAAGAGAAGTGGAATGACAATGAGGAGATTGGGAGCAGAGGGAATCCGCACACTCTAATTTCTTGCTGTCCTTCCTTTGGCAGGAAGCTGAGTCTGAAAGAGGTTGCAGAAAACATTATGCTCATCAAAGAAAAGTTTAAAGAGAAGCTCCGGCTCCTGGGAACCCCTGGCTCCTGGGATCACATCACTAATCAGGATGGGACCCATGGGTATCTTGGACTCAACTGTAAGTGTCTAGGAGGAGAGAGCCCTCCCCTTTCTGACCTTGGGCTTGTATTTGAATATTCAGCTTCACTGATTAGGTGACCAGTCCCTAACTTCACACCAGATTTTGAATCTTTCTTGAGGAAAGTGGAGCTGCTTTGAAGACCCCTATGGCCTCCCACAAATGCTGATGCTCCCTATCCCCCATAATCCACCTGGGCTAGAGGGGACTTAGAGTTGGTCACCCCAGGATCTGAGATCCTGTGATTATCACAAGCCCAACAGGTAGAATATTTGGTCAAGAAGAAACACATCTACGTCCCCAGGAATGGTCGGATTAACTTCACCTGTATCAATGCCTCCAACATAGATTACATCACTCAGAGCATCAACGAGGCTGTCATCTTCACAAAGGGCTCAGGGGGAAAAAAAAAGTCTCCAGCAAGTCAATAGCTCCGAAGTTAGAATAAAAGCTTGAGTCTTTGCAAAATTCCTGTGCTGATTATTCACTGCTACAATTTATTTCTCTGCTGAGTATTCTGTCTCTGTCTATCTATCTACTTATAAAGCATTGTTCTGGCCTCAGCAAAGAGGTGGTGGTGGGGAAAGCCCAGAGAAAAAGGAAATGTCTACCTTCATGTACCATCTCATATCTTTTTAAGCTTTTTAAAAATCTTTATTGTTCAGATTATTACAGTTGTTCCTCTTTTTTCCCCCATAGCCCCCCTCCACCTGGTTCCCACCCCCCCCTCTGCCCTTACCCCCCCGCCACTGTCCTCATCCATAGTAGGTGGACGATTTTTGTCCCGTCTATTCCCGCACTCCCCA